ATGGAGAAAAATTCTATTTTTGTAATTTATAGATTTGATAAAAAAAAACATATGATGAATAAAAATATATAGAACAAGGATGAGATCGAAGAAAAGTAAATGTATAAATATAATATCTCAAAACTCAAAAGGAAGTGTAAATATAATATCCCCCAAAATAGGGAAGGACGGAATAGCATAACGTTGGCCGGTGTAGAATCTTATTTTCCTTGTCTATCGAATTTCGCCGACAGAAGGAATGTTGAAAATTATCGTGTTATTATGTTCCTAGTGGATTCTTCATTTATTTTCTTTTATAAAAAAAATAAGAATTTTGAGAGTAATTATGCATTAATGATGTAAAAGAAGATGAAGGTTAGTGAAATGGAAAACAATAAATGAGAAGAAAGAAAAAAAATTATGAGTAAAGAGAAATTTTCATTTACAGTAAAAATATAACTACAACCCTTATTTAAAGATTTTAAAGATTAAAATGTAAAATTGAAAATTGAAATAAAAATAAATAAGTTTATTTTTTATAAAAATCTTGAAAGAAAAATTAACGTAAAAAATAGAGAAAAAATAGTTGAGAAAGAAGATATTCTCTTTATCTATTATCTATAGTTATAAATATTACGTAACTAAATGGGATAAAAGAATCGCATATCTATCAGAGGAAAAGCATCATTAAGTTCTCCTTTCTACATTTCAAAATATTAATTTATAATATAATATAGACGGATCCGGGTATTACTTTGGTGTATAAGCTTTTGTACATAAATTTTAGAGAAATAAAATTATTTATATTGAGGACTATAAACTATAAACTAGAAACCTACACTTTCAAGAACTAAAAAAATATAAATTGTCACTTTTAAGAGCCAAATTTTTATACTAACTCAAAATCAAAATGCAGAGTTGGTCAAGCTTAATCACCATTATCTCGCTTAAATTAATTTCATGTGTTTTTCCCATCCTTTAATTTTATGAAACGAAAGTATTTATATAATTTAGTCTATTATAAATTATGAAATGCCATAAGGGTTTACTAGTAAGTGATTGTTTATGATTTTATCTTAAACTAATATTTGCGTCTTATAAAAATGCTTGTAGTCTACAACAAATAAAGTTAGAAGACACACAGAATGACATGAACATTGATTTTCATTTTTCACGATATAATAATAGAAAAAGATAATCTAGATTAAAATTAATTTAAACAATTTTATCCATTTACAAATAATTTATATGATTAATATTTGTTGGGGAGTCTTTAACATCGAGAAGTACTCTACAATGGGTAGTGAGTAAGTCACACAAGTGAGCTTGACACCACAACATATCCTAAAACCTTAAAGCAATACGTAGGGTCTTTTTCACTTATATATTACTCAACATGCTAAACTCTAATCAATGTGGGACTTCACTTCACACTTGAACTCCAACACTCCCCCTCAAATGTGAATCCCTTCCACATGGTCATGCTCCCCCTCAAGCGGAAGCTTTCTCTTTCGTCCACGCGTATTCAATGGTGGCCTTACATGCACTACTGTTGCACTTCAACGACATAAGTCGTCCACACCTCTAGGAAAGACTTTTAGTACAATGGATGATCCTACTCTTGGATCTCCTACCAATTCCATTCAGGATCCCACTCTTGGATCCAGCCAATACTCATCTGAGCCGATGACCAGTCATTTGGTCGAACCATCGACTTTGATACCACTGTTGGGAAGTTTTTAACATCAGGAAGCTCTTCACATAATGGGTAGTGAGTAAGTCACACAAGTGAGCTTGACACCACAACATATCATAAAACCTTAACGCATTAGGTAGGTGGGTCTTTCTCACTTATATATTACTCAACATGCCAAACTCTAACCAATGTGGGACTTCACTTCACACTTGAATTCCAACACTCCCCTCAAGTGTGAATCCCTTCCACATGGTCACGCTCCCCCTCAAGCGGAAGTTTTTCTTTCGTCCACAAGTATTCAATGGTAGCCTTACTTGCACTTACCGTTGCACTTCAACGACACACATCCTCCACACCTCTAGGGAGACTTTCAGTACAAGGGATGATCCTACTCTTGGATTTCCTGCCAATTCCATTTAGGATCCCACTCTTGGATCCTGCTAGGGATGGCAAATATACCCGTACCCGTGGGTAATACCCGAACCCGTCCCGACTTTGACGGGGAATACCCGGTTTGACCGGGTACGGGTACGGGTACGGGTAAAACCCGATATATTGAATCGGGTACGGGTACGGGTACGGGTATGTACTTACCCGCCCCGTACCCGTCCCCGTTCTCATTTTTAATTTAATATTCACTTTTAATTTAATTATATTAAAAAAATTTAATATTTTTTTATGTATGATTATTTATTATAATGTGAGATAAAAAAATAACTTAATTATAATTATAATATAATAACAAAAAATAATTTAAAAATATTATTTTTTTTAAAAAAATTGACGGGTACGGGTACGGGTACGGGTATACCCGATACCCGACGGGGATGGGGATGGGGATGAAAATCCCTACCCGACGGGTATGGGGACGGGGATGGGGATGAGTTTTACTTGCGGGGACGGGGACGGGTATCATGAAACCCGTACCCGCCCCGCCCCGTTGCCATCCCTAGATCCTGCCAATACTCGTCTAAGCTGATCATCAGTCATTTGGTTGAACCATCGGCTTTGATACCAGAGTTGGGGAGTCTTTAACATCGGGGAGCACTCTACAATGAGTAGTGAGTAAGTCACACAAGTGAGCTTGACACCATAACATATCCTAAAACCTTAAGGCAATAGGTAGGTGGGTCTTTATCACTTATATGTTACTCAACATGTCAAACTCTAATTAATGTGGAACTTTACTTCACACTTGTACTCCAACAATATTTACTTTTGTTAACTCTTTAAGCTTGGTAGATCGATATATGTCTATAATGTTGTATAAACAACGTTTTATATGACTTCAATTCAACATCATTTTTCTTTGAGTTCGTTTAATTGATTTGCTAAAAAACACGAAACCAAACACGACTTATTGTTAACTAAATCACGAGATTACTTTTTTTTTCCTAAAATAAAAAATATTTATAATTATTTCTTATTTAATATTTTTATTTTTTTTTCTTATTTATCTTTTTCCCTAATTATTAATATTACTAGTGGGGTCAAGACACTTCGTACATCAATATTTTATTTAATAGAAGTCTTTAAAAATTATCGAATAAATCAATTGGTATTGTATTTAACCTTTAAACCTAAAGGTCTTGAGTTTGAATCATGAATTTAATTTATTTTCAATATTAATTTTTTATTATTTTAAAAGTTTAAGGATAAACTATCTTAGTTCAAAAATTATATATACGATAATAAGGTATATCCTTTATAATAGGTATAAATTATCATCACTATTATTACCGTTATCATCATAGGGATCATCACATGTTATTGTCACTGTTGTCTTCTTGGTTATTGTTGTCATCATCTCACTATTATATTGTTATGTTAAATTAATTAATTTAAATTATATTGAAATTATTAACATTAAAAAGAGTGTAACAATAAATTTATATTATTTTATTTGCATTAGTTCATTATCTATCAATTAATTAACAAGATAAAAAATTAACTTGAGTAACTTAACATTTGTCATATTCTCCTTGTTTTTGTACCCATAGTTTTCAAATCAAATTAGACCGGTGGATTTCGATTTGATTGGAAACTAGTCTAATGACCAGTTTAGGATTTAACTCAAAAGTATCTTATTATATCATGAACTCTAAATTCTAAACCAGTCTATCAAAAATATTTTAGAACAAGTGCAAAACAGTTAAGAATCGGTCAAATTGGTTAAAAATCGGTATTAAAGGGTCACAAATTAGTTTGAAATGATACCATAAAAATTAATTTTTTAATTTTTAAAATTTATTTAAAATATTTATATTATAAATGAAATACATATTTAAAAAGGATTACAAATTAAAAAATTATTTTATTAATTTTTTTATAAAGATATAAATTATTCATTTATATTAATTTAATTTTAATATTATATAAGTTTCGCAGTTTTTTACTCTACATGCAAACATTTTAATAGGCATTGTCATATTTTTATTCAAATTTAAACTCAAATATATATTTGAATTTTAAGTGTAAAAAGCTATAAAATGATATTTTATTTTATTTTTTAGTTTTATAAAATATATTATATTTATTTTATATTCTTTTATGTATTATCTTATTATCATTATTTTTTTATTAAAATCAATTTAATCATATTTAACTGCGATTAAATGATTGAATTTAAACCGGCATCTTACAAGTCTAATTTAAAAACATTAGTTGTATATCTTAGTATGTATCAAACACACCACATATATCACTTATTATACACTAGGGAGGTTGAGTCTCTATTATAAATAAAGTAAAAAAATGAGTTTAAATAATAAAAATATATTAAATCAATTTGTGTTGTGATTTATCCTTAGATCTTAAAGTCTTGGATTTGATAAAAGTATTAATTTTTTAAAAAGTTTTATTAATAAAGAAGTATAATGATCTACTAAATATGGAGACCAAAATAATTATTAAAAACACTACAAAAAACTTGTTTGTTTGTGACGATTTTTTAGTGAGAGCAGCAGCGGTTTTGACCGCTGCAAACTTATATTGCGACGGTTTGTAAACCGCCGCAATCGTGTGCGTCGCGACTAAATTTTGCGGCGATTTTCTAAATTGTCGCAACATATTCGATAAAATCGCGACGGTTATAAAATTGTCGCTATTTTGGAAACTGAAACTAGTTAAAAAATTGCGCGGTTTTCAAAAAAACTGCGGCGGTTTTCAAAACCGCCGCAATTTGGTTCGTGTCCAATTTGTAATTAAATGTTTTTTATAATTACATTTTCAACCTGTTTGTTTAAATTCTTATCTCAAACATGTGATCAAGATAAACTAATACAAATGATGCAAATAAAAATGTCATTCATTAAATAAAGATATTAAATCCAAATTTAGTGCATAATAGATTTGCATCTTTCAAACATAGAAATGCTCCTTAAGTTTAAGAAACTTAGGTACATAAAAACAACGAAAATATAAAGATGGTCCTAAAAGCTCCTAACAAACTGAAATTGGAGCAAATATCTAAATAGTCCTTCATGATGATCCTCCATTATCTTCAGGAATATGGCTAGACTGAGAAGAACGTCTCAAATCTGCTGGAGATTCCAATTCAGCTGCCTGAAATTAAAATAATCACAAATTAGATTTAAACTTTTACTTGGACAATAAAATTTAAATTTTTTATATACTTTATTTTATACCTGATTTCCTTTAACAATTTGCATAAGGAAAGCTAATTGTTCCTTCAAAACATCAACTTCACCAACTCGTGCCTTAAGTGCTTCAACTTCAGATCGCAATTGTGCTATCGTGGCCGCATCTGATGAAGATCCAAACCTCGTAGAGGAAGAATATGATCCAATGATTTGAGTTGGAGTAACCCCAAGTCCCATGCCTCGAACATATCCTGGATGCTCCTTTCCAAACACTTTCAAGAATGCCTCATTCTCAGAAGAAGTCTCCTGAATTTCATTATGCAATTGTTCCTACATATAATGTTGAATACATAGATAAATAGTAAAAGATTACTTATATGAGTGAAAAGCAAATGGTAATTGAAAATTACAAATAATATATTGTACTCACATATTTTTGTCTAGCATCTTCGTTCACAAATGATCCATCCTTCTTTTTATGAGCAATAGGATACATATCTCCTCTACTATAACGTCGTCCATATTGCACTTCCTAACATTTTTCACCATACCAAAAATAATTATACAAACAATTTTTTTCAATTTCTTCAAACAAAATAGACTAAATGAACTTTACATACCAACTCATCCCTTTTTCTTGCTAATGTCTTTGATCCTAGAGATGGTATAAATTTTGTGCAAAATAAAAGGTTAGCGTAGGACCAAGCCAATGTAAGAATACTCACCAAAAGAGAGGCAAAACAAAGCAAATGTCGTGAGCCCTTGAACTCGCGCGTCGCTGTGAGCCCTTCAACTCATCATTGTAAGCCGGTGAACTCGTGCCCGTCAACAATGTTAAAAATAGTAGAGTAGAGGTGTAACTCCTGAGCAAGGTAGACACGTGACCGTGAGCGGAGGAAGAGAAGAAGAATAGAGTGGGGAGAGAAGGGGGTTAGGTTTCTGAAGTTCTATTTTTGATGAGAGGGGAGGGAACATTTGAGCCTAAAAGTTTTAATTTACCTGCGGCGGTTCTATATTAACCGCCGGAGAATAATAAAAAATTGCATCCGTTCTATAAAACTGTCGTAAGTTATAACTAAGTAAAAAAGCGGAGGCGGTTCTTTAAAACCGCCGCAAAATTTGTGACGTTATTTCTTTTTTTTGGTGTAGTGAAAGAATATCTCTTGATAGAAGAGCATGGATCAAGAGTCCAACCACTAGAGCTATGACTAGGAGGTTACTTAAAGATTTGACTGCTTTAAAGCTTGGTGGGCCCAAGGTACTCTTCACACGGGCTTTATAGTGAACACCATGTTATTTTCTTTATTGAGTAGTATAGGATTTATATTTCTTGGTCTTGTATTTTGGACCACCGAGATTGGGATTTGTCGGTCTTAGGCTTCATGGGCCTTGGGTATTTTGGTACCCAATATTAGACTCATTTTGTTTCTTTTATTATTTTCTATTGTTTGTATTTAGTTGACCATTGTATTTAGGCCTTTAGAGTAAAAAATTTGAAGGAATAGTTAAATAGGAAAATAATGTTAAATCTAGGTTTCATTTAGAAGTCATTTAAGTTGAATTTGGGTCACATGTTTTAAGTCATGGGTGGCTAAACATGTGTATGCCCAAATCAACCTTAAATGTTTGCTAAATGAAACTTAAATGCATGATGGAGCCTTGATTCACAGCTAAGCACATGGGTGCTGAAAAATTTGAATTCAAATTTAGGTGCCAAATGTGAGCTTTGAAGCTTGGCGCCAATTAGTGCATGATCCGTGCCTATTTAAGTGAATTCTTTCCAAGCTTGTACTCACTTTTGACATTTGAGAAATATGAAAATTCACTTAAGTCATTTTCTCTCCAAAAGTCACCGAGAAACTTAGCTTAGGCTTAGGGATCCTAGGTCTTCTAGGAGAATACGTGAGCATTCTTTTGCTCTCCTAGCTTGAGTGCTTCCTTCTTGATTTATATTCAATCCAAATTCGGTCTCTCTTCAAGTCTTCTTCTCTGGAATTCCATCTTAAGGACGAAGATTGTGTGAAGAGAAAGACTAGGAAAGTTCATCATTTCACTTCTCCTACCTATCTCCATCATCTCTTTTATATATTAATATATATTAGTATAGATAATATAGATATTCCTCTCTCTCTTTTCTCTCACTCTATTGGTAACTTGGCATATGTTGTCTACTAATTTTTTGGTATGCCTTGTGTATATATATATATATATATATATATGAGTTAATCATCCATACACTGTCAGTGTAAATTTTTTTACACTGACAACCAATCATATCTTTTAAATTATTTTATTTTATTTTATTAAATAAGCAACTGACACGACACTATTAAAAGATATGATTGGTTGTCAGTGTAAAAAAACTTTACACTAGCAGTGTATAAGTGATTAACTTTTATATATATATATAGGCATTTTGTAAAATGTAATTCTTTTTTTTGGTAAGGGGCACGAACTCTCTTGCATTACAAACATGATAATTGTTCAACAAAAATTGTCGGGCGAGGAATAGACATAGGAATGAGGAATTGATTATCAGAGAAAGTGTCTCATCTCTTCTTTCTAATCTTTGATTTTCTAAAACTTCGTACCAAAGTTTTGGTACCCTAACACTACGACAAAATTCATTTTTACCGACAATTATTTACCAGCAATAAATTAATTGCCTTTGCTTTATTATTTAATAAAAGTATTAGTGACTAATATATAATGGTCACTAAAAATATATTTATATCACACCAAAATTTATTATTAGCGACAATTATTTTAAGAAAAACTTTAGTCCCACATCGACTAGAAATAAGATAACTAAAGAGTATATAAATAAATAATAACTCTCACCTTACAAGTTTGTTATATAGGATTGTGTTAGACCTATAACTTATTATTCTAAATTAGTATGATATATAATAAAAAGAATATATAAGTAGAAAGATAACTCTCATCTTACAAGTCTCACATCAACTAGAGATAAAGTAATTATTTATTTTTACTCATCTTACAAGTCCCACATCGACTAAAAAGTAAAAAATGTTATAAAAAGATATACACTTTTTTCGACCATTATAAAGGTTTTTACCAGCATTTTGAATAATTGTCGCTAAATGTTTTAGCGACACTGCATACAATGGCTAATGTAAAAATGCCGGTAAAAGATTTTGTAACAATTTTTATTGCCACTAAAAGTCATATTAAATGCCACTAAAAGTCTATTTTATTGTAGTGAAAAGTCTATTTTATTATAGTGTAATATATAGTAAAACTATTTACTTATTTAATTATTATCATTATATTTTTTTTTAAATGGATGGCTACCACAGAAGAGAAAGAAAGAGAATACAATGATTTTTTAGGTTTGGTCTTCATGGTTCTTTTAGTTATTGTTTTGCCATATTAATTAAAACATTAAAGCAAAAGGGAGACACAAAACAATGCTATGTTGTAAGACATAACGAATCATCCTCACCATCATGACGGAGACAAGGTCTATGAAAAAAGAAAATCTAATTTTATGCATTCAGTTTTCAAAAAGGGAGTTTATAATACTTTAATTATTTTACTATTTATATGCAATTCTGCTGTTGTAGTGGAAAATGACAAACCAACCATAGATGTCAGGTCTTGAAATTAAAATTTTCCTTTCCATTAATTTTCAATCCACGTTATATAGTAATGTGCCATCTTCATTGCATCTCAATATATATTAAGAAATCTTAAAAACTAAAAAGATTAAGAAATAACTAAGTAAGACAAAAAAAATGCTTAGGATATATAATGACATGAATTAACAAAAATATTATAGTCACTATGCTGATACATAGGGAAACTATGAAAGGAAAATCAAAGGAATTTTAGTCTACATTATTTAGAGCCAAAATATATTTCCCAATCATAATTATAGGAGAAAAAAATGAATGTAAAATTAAATAAACTTTTTGAATAGATTCTGTACGTGTTTATACATATGAAAACTATGAAGGTACAGCTCTGAAGAAGGCTGAAATCAAATATTGTTTTTCTTTCACATTAGCCAGGTGAGACCACTTGTACGTTATATATATTCACTTCTACGTATTAAACACATTTATCTTCCATGATAGTATTTTTAAAAATTATTTTAATTTATTTAATGTAGTTTATTTATAATTATTATTTATGAATTAAAATTTTAATATTATTAAAATAAATTATTAATAAAATCTTATCCTACAATATAAATTATTTACCATAAATCTAAAATATAATTTATATATTTAAAATATTAATTTATATAAATTTTTAAATAAATATTATAATCTCAAATATAATATTTATTAATTTGTATATATAATTTATTATAAATTTCAGTTATATATAATAAACATTTAACTAGTAGTACAAACTAAGATATTAATATATATATATATATATATATATATATATATAAATAAATAAATAAATAAAAGGGGAATACAGCTTTTAAAACTAAAAAAAAATAAAAAAGAAGAAGAAAAAGGTAAATGCCAAAAAAATTATTCAGAAGGTTAAGAAGAAATGGGCAATATGAAGAGGGACAGAGATCATGTATTGTTTTCATGCATGTCCTTGTGATGAAATGGTGAAAAGGTTACTGTTCTTACCGGAGATCGGTCGTAGGGAACGATTCACTGGGCAAGATTAGTGAGCCTCCTTCGTTGTTTCAAAGTGCGGGGGATACCTGCAAAAGAGACTCCGATGCTAAAGTTAGTGTTTGTGGGTGTATGGGTCTCGTATATGTAATGCACGTACCTTAGTGTGAATTAGGGTTTATCTGAGCCTTGGGCTTGAGATCGGTTGTGACCTGTTCAGATAGTGGGCCTTCGTCTTAGCCGATGTCATGCAGTGTATATCCGATGTCAAACTATGCTGTGATGCTGAGCTTGAGCTCGGTTTCGTGGTACGGATAGTATACTAGCCCCCAGAGCTCCGAAGACCGTGGGTCGAGGAGTTCATACCGAGTTCGATGAAGGGTCACGACTCTTCGTGTATGCTCCTTGGATGTGACGCCATGTGTCATAAGTGTCACCTCGTTCCCTGAAACGCGTGGGCAGCGTGTTAATGGGAGGTGACGGTTATGTAATGATGGGGTGCACTCGTCATAATGGGCTCCATTTAATGTGTCATCAGTTTTGTCTTTTCCTGCCACGTGTCACTTCCGTTTTCAATTTTGCAAATCCCATTTTCCCTCTCTCCTTCGCACCCTCTCACATTCACCTTGCTCTTTCTTCCTTGGCGTGCTCTCGACGCTTCATTCCTCTCTGTTCACCCTTCATCTCCATTCTCCTTTATTGACTCCGTTGTGCCCTGTCGCCGCCGTTTCCGACAATCAGGTCGCCGTTAAGGTCATTGTCTAAGGAGTACTAGGTACTTCCCCTACTCTGTCTTCTTCCTTATTCTTTCTCTCCGCCAGTCTCCTTCTTCGTTTCTTTTTCCTCTTTTCGAATCTTTTCAACTCTTGATGGCTGGTGAGAGTAGTGTCGTACCTTCTACGCCAGCCAAAGGCAAGGGCAAGGCATGCGACAAGGCGGTGTCCGACGAGACAGTTGCTGCTGAAAAGAAGAGGGGTGGGAATAACCCTAGGGATTCTCACCCCGCCATTACCGTCCCGGGCTATGAGTGGGTCAGGGGGGACGTCGAAGAG